GTCCAGTGTGTCATTCAAAGCCATTGTTTCCTTGTTGATTTTTTTGATTAGATGATCTGTCCATTGCTGTGAGTGGGGTGTTGAAGTCTCCTACTATGATGGTATTACTATCGATGAGTTTCTTTATGATTGTGATTAGTTGACTTATATAGTTGGATGCTTTCACATTTGGCGCATAAATGTTTACAATTGTTAGGTCTTCTTGGTGGATAGACTCCTTGATTATGATATAATGCCCTTCTGCATCTCTTGATACAGTCTTTATTTCAAAGTCTAGATTGTCTGATATAAGTATGGCTATTCTGGCTTTCTTTTGTTGACCGTTAGCATGATAGATGGTTCTCCATCCCCTTATTTTCAATCTGAAATTGTCTTTAGGTCTGAAGTGGGTCTCTTGTAAACAGCATATAGATGGATCTTGTTTTCTTATCCATTCTGTTACCCTATGTCTTTTGATTGGAGCATTGAATCCATTGACGTTTAGAGTGAGTGATTAGTGAGATATTTTAAATTCTGTTTTTGGTACTAAGTCTTTCAAGCCCATGTTTATTTTCACTTGCAGCATATCCCAGTTGGAACTAGCCATGTTGCAAATTCTTCTTAGCTACTTGTGACTGGTGGCTACCCTAACAGACCGTGCGGGTCTGACACTTTCTATTAGTGACCCCTTATCAGTAATCTTACCAGAGGAAAGTCCCTCCGCCCAGGTACCTGGGGCAGAAAGCAATTGAGACTTTAAGAAAGGCTGTCTCCCAGTTTGGGGCTTGCATGTCTGTGGTGACTTGTTTATACTCGTCACAACCTATGCAGCTAGAGAAATGATAGGTTTTCACATGCTGTTCAGTACATTCTGAGGCTTATTTATTGAGCAGTTCAAACTCTCTACAGTCCTTTCCCTCTTCACCACCTCCTCTCATTATCGTTCTTATTGCCTCCTCTCAAATTCAACCCCAGTTTTTACCTCTTGTAGTCACCTAAATTTCAAGTCTCAGTAGCAAAAATTATAAATTGGTGGCCAGTAGGCCACATCCAGCACGTGGGTATTTTGCTAGGCTTACATAATGTTTAACAAAAAAACAAAAAAAAAAAAAAAAATTGAGCCAGCATTCTAAAGAAATGGTGTTTCATGAAAGTTGAAGTCTGATGTATCATGAAAAATGGAAATCTGACCAAGCTAAGCTTTCATTCCTCTATAGCAAACTCTTGGGACAGATTATCAGGCTACCATTTGACAGGTATGAGCTCCACTAAATCAACGTGTGTGTATGTATTTAGATCAGTCCAGTTTTGCTATGAATCAATTTCACTTACCTGCTGTCCTTGTAGGCATTTAAGTTTGCAATCCCTACTAAATATTTCTGCCTGCTTATCAAGTATTGCCAAGTATATTGTTAAATGGAGCATGTTCTTGCTGGCTAAGCCATGATGCTCCGATTTTATTCATTCTTCATATTTTTTTCTACCAAAAAACACCCCTGTGTCTTGATTGGAGTTTTGGTGATATGAGTGTATAAGTTTATCAAAACTGATATATCTGCACTTCACATAAATGCACGTCAATTTTTTTTAAATGTACAATCTGCACTAAAATTCTTAGTTTAGCAAAACAAAGTGGTGGGGGTGGGGGGGTGCTGTCTGCATTTCCATCCATTCATCTCCTAGTTAGTTTTCTCTCTATTTGGTGATGAAGATACGGTCTTTATACAGTGACATGATGAATTCTCTGCGACACTCTCTTCTCACTTTCTTTTTTAAACTTCATTTTCATGGGCTAGGTACTGGGTTCTGTCTAGTTTTCAGTAATTTTTGAGAACCTAGGCTTTGATTATCTTATATTTGTGGAACTGAGCTCAGCTCAAGATTTTTTTTTTTAAAGTTTATTCATTTTGAGAGAGCACAAATGGGGGAGGGACAGAGAGAGAGGGAGAGAGAAAATCCCAAGCAGGCTCCACACTGTCATTGCAGAGCCCGATGCGGGGCTCAAACTCAGCCAACTGTGAGATCATCACCTGAGCTGAAATCAAGAGTTGGACACTTAACCGACTGAGCCACCTAGGCACCCCACTCTGCTGAAGATTCTTAAGATTTTGTTAAACACCCACTACTAGTATTCATCTCTCCTAGCTAAGGATGATTCCTCTTTTCATTAGAGGGTATATCACCTTTCCCCAACTCATGGAGCCCTGAGAAATGGCAAACTGATGCGTTGTCCCATCTCTGCTGAGATGTAATGGTCTTGAATAGGAGTTCTTTTTTTTTTTTTTTTTTTAATGTTTACTTATTTCTGAGAGAGAGAGAGACAGAGACAGAATGTGAGCAGAGAGGGGCAGAGAGAGAGACACAGAATCCGAAGCAGGCTCCAGGCTCTGAGCTGTCAGCACAGAGCCCGACGTGGGGCTCAAACCCCCAAGCTGTGAGATCATGACCTGAGCCGAAGTTGGACACCCAACCAACTGAGCCACCCAGGCGCCCCAGGAGTTCTTTTTTAATCAAAAGTTTGTTTTTTTTTTTCCTTTCCTCCCAAGCTGTATATTCTCTTAAGTCTCACCAAATTAGTAGTGTTAGTGAAATATTTCAGAATGCTTTCCCCTTTGTCTTTCCCACTGCCCTGCTATTGCCCAGCAAGTGGGATTTAGAAGCCTCCAGCTAGTCCAGAATGTTCTTTTTCTTTCCTTGGCTGCCTGTTTTTAAAGCTTATGACAGACGGTTGTCCCTTCCAATTTGGTGGCTGCTGGGGAAATTTTTGCCATTTTTACTAATTGTTTGGGTTTTTTTGGTTTTGTTTTTTTTTTTTACTTATCATAGGAGGAATGTTCTGTAGTCTTCATCCTGTTATCTCTATCAGGAAATAGATGTTTTGACAGAAGTAAATATGCACACTCTATTATGTACATTTCATAAATATAGGGGAAATTATCCTTAAAATAGTCTGAAAGTTGAGGATTTAAAGTCAGTTAAAAAGTGTAATTTGTAATAAACTAGATATTTTGTTTTAGAAATAGATCTGTGGGGATCTGTTCATGAAATAGAAAATCGTTAAGAATTAGAGTTTTTTTTAATTTTCCCTATTCATTTTCAGGATTCATCAGGTGGAGTAGTTTCTTCAAGAGAATGTAAACCTAATGAAAATAAATGTTTTCCTTCAGAAGATTCTCTCAGTGAAAACAAGGCGGGTAAGTAAGATAAAACTTCTCAAAATGAGTTAATTTACTTACAATAATAATTCATTACATGTGTCGATATGGAATTCTGTACAATAATGTTTTTTTTTTTTTTATTCAGTATGTGTGCTTCTATTTGTATCTTTATGTTTATCTCAGTGACACTGTTTTCTGTAGTAAGCAATGTAGTGCAGTTTGAAAACAAGGAAGGTAAGGAGACCTTAGGCTGGAATTTATGACAAAGTACTGATGAATAATTGGTCTATGGGATGTAGCCAGGGTACTTAAGCTCCCTAGAACTTGGTCTTTTCATTACACCTACTCTACCTGTCTTTTACCCAAAATAATAGAAAGGAGTAAAAACAATTTATGTTATATATTCATCATCAAAACTCTACTGTAAGTAAGCATAATTTATGAAGCCATCAAAAGGACACTTGGGCATCAGGAACCTTGGGATTTTGTCTAGGTCTGCCACTAATTAACTATGTGGTCTAGGGATGAGATCTCTAGTCTTCATTTTTAAATTTCTCTTAGTTCTGAAATCCCATTACTAACTTGTAATGTCATTGTTCAATTAAACAGTATTTACTAAACTATGAACATACACAGAGGTTAACATTCTACTTACCAACCAGATTCTGGATAACTTTACTTTGTTGGTTATAGCTGTAAGTTTGAAAATAAATTAAAATTCTTGGAGTGTATATATATTGATTACAGTGAGAAAACTGCAGTTCACAGGAAGAAAACAGATAAAACAAAGAGCATAGTCTGGAGCAATAGCCCTTAAGAGGACCTAATGATATATAGAGAAGGATTGTTCATAATGATAATTCTGAGATACCCTGTTAATAACTAGTATTTACTAGGTGCTGAATATGTACCAGGCAGTGCTAAGTGTTAGTATGTGTTATGTTTCCTATGGGTTGTGCTATTACTGACCTAATAGAACGTGTAACAGAACAATAGTGGCTTTCTCTTTACAGTAGTTAATAAAGTTTGCTTTTAAAATAAATTTATTTTAGGGGTGCCTGGGTGGCTCAGATGGTTAAGCAACCAACTCTTGACTTTGGTTCAGGTCATGATCAGAGTTCATGGGTCAGCACATCGGGCTCTGTGCTGAGAGTGCGGAGCCTACTTGGGATTTCTCTTTCTCTCTCTCTCTCAAAAAATAAAAAAAAGTGAAAAAAAAAATGAAAATAGATTTATGTCAGTATACTAAAGTCCATTTAAAGAAAAACATTTCATGAACAAAAAATAATACAGGTGGCACAAGGATATGGCAAAATTCATAAAGGTCGTGTACAAATGGTAAAGGATTGTAACAATAATTACAGTTTATCATTTCTCACAACCTTAGGAAATGGGTTTGTATGCCCATTTTGTAGAAGAGGAAACAGACTTAGGTTAAGTAACTAACCCACAGCAGATCAGACCTGTCTTGGCCTTGTTTCTAGAGAATGAGCTCTATTTTTCAATGCAAAGTTAAAAGTTTGCTTTTTACTCAGTAGCCCGCTTGTCCCATATTTTTCTCTAAACAACTACTATTTTAACTTTGGTCTTTTTTTTTTTTAATAGGATTTTTATTTTGTAATAATTTTAGATTTATAGAAAAGTTATAAAGACAGTACAGAGAGTTCCTGTATATTACTCCCCTCATTTCCCCCATTGTTACTATCTAATATCAACATTGTACTTTTGTGAAAACTAAGAGACTGATACCAGTACATTACTATTAACTAAGCTCTAGACTTTATTTGGAGTTCAGCAGTTTTCCATTAATGCCCTCTTTCTGTTCTACAATCCAGCCCAGGGACCATATCGCCTTTAGTTATGTCTCCATAGTGTCCTTTGATCTGTGACATTTTCTCAGTCTTTTCCTTGTTCCATGTTTTTCATGATTTTGACATTCTTGAGTACTGGCCAGTTATCCTGTATCATGGCCCTGAATCTTGGTTTGTCTGATCTTTTCTCATCAATAGAATGCAGTTAATGGGTTTGGGGAAAGAATGCCCCTGATGTGAAGTACCCTTCTCACCACACTGGATTGGGGGTACTGATGTCCATATGACATTACAGATGTCCATGTGACATCACTTGGTCAAGGTCAAGTTTGTCAGATTTCTCTACTGTAAAGTCACTCTTACTCCTTTTCCATACTCTGTTCTTTGGAAGTAAGTCACCAAGTCTAGCCCATCCTTTCATGGAGAGGATTAAGCTCCATCTTCTGGGGGAGTGGAGATATTCACATATATTATTTGGAATTCTTATGTAAAGAAGTGTTGTCTCTTTTCTCCTAATTGTTTCCTCCATCTTGAAGTAAATGGAGTCATGGACACTTAACAGTATGGACTCATGAATATTTTATATTTTGGGTTGTAATCCAATACTACATTATTTATTCTGTTGTTCACATTGTTCTAGTTTTTACCAATGGGACATCTTTTCAAGTCATTCTCTTTGGCATGCCTTGTCCTTTTGTTTCTTTTGAGCACTTCATTATTTTCTGGCACTACAGGGTATTCCAGCCTCATGTTGTATTTTTTCTGCCCCAGTCCTAGAATCAGCCATTTCTCCCAGGAAACTGGTGTGTTCTGTTAGACCTCTATTTATAAACCAAGATCTGGAGTTAGTGTGCTCACTGCTCTGGAGTGTTACTGCTTCTAGGCCTTCTCAGCAAACAGAGCTAGGAAATATACGTATGCATACTGTGTATGCACACATCTATAATTGTTTCTGTATCTCTCCATCTGTACATATACTAAATAAACCTAAGTTCAAATTTGCTGTCCCGGTCTCTAATCCAATACAACAGGGTTTATCCCATCCTTTCTTGTTTATCCATGGCTTCCCTTAGGGAAAAACTTTTCCACTATTCATTACCCACCCACTTAATTGTTCAGTCCCAGTACACCTGCACAATAGTTTCAGAATTGTTAATTCATACTCCTGTGAGAAATATTTACCAGTTAGAGTCTATTATTTACAGTCCTTTTGTCTTTAGCCTTATAATTTCTAGTTAAAACACAGTTTGATAAAGATATTTAGGTCAGCTGCCCATTCTTCCCCTACCTCCTTCATCGCGGTCATGCCACCCTGTTCTAATACAGTTAGATTCATTCGTCACAGTGTGCATTCCATCCTGGGATCCCTCAACATCATGGCTGATGTTTAAATTTATAAAGTTCAACTTAATATTTTCTTTCATGTACTGTGCTTTTGGTGTTACATGTGAAAACATATCCAAACCCAAGTTGTGGAGTTTTCGCTCACATTTTCTTCTAGAAGTTATATAGTTTTACATTTTACAAATAAATCTGTGACCCATGGTGAGTTAATTTCTATAGAAGAGTGTTGTTGGGTTTTTTTTTTTGCATATGACTGTCCAATTGTTCCAGCACATCTGTCGACTCTCTTTTCTCCATTTAATTACTTTTTTTCTGTCAAAAATCAGTTGACTGTATGTGCGTGGGTGTGGTTGGGGCTCTCTATTTTGTTCCATTGATCTAGACCATACTGTCTTGATTATTTGTTAAGTCTTGAAATCAAGTGATTTCAGTATTTAGGTGTTATTAACATTTAAAGTTTTATGATTTAAAGCTTTGAGTTTATTTTATAATACAAAATTACTGTCATTTTTTCCCCAACCAGTTTCTCCTGATTCTGTTGTCTACCCGATCTTCAGTGTGTCTTCAGTCAATACAAAAAGGTAAGGATTGCTCTTATTTTAATGTTTAAGGTTTATTTAATTGAGTCCTTCTGGGTATCTTTCTTTCTTGCACTATGTAATTTGGAGAGTATTTTTTTTTTCCTCCCCACTAAGGGGATATTGAGAATAAGATGAAATCAGGCCCTCTCCTAGAAACTTCATAAGAACCCAAGAGTTAAGAGAAGGGAAATATCTTTATGGGTTTGAGTGATAATAATTGCTAACATTTTTATACAGTACCTGACCCATAATAAATAGTTTATATCCATTATTTAACTTGGTTCTTAGAACAGCCCAGAAGATCGATACTATTAATAATTCCATTTTCAGCTGAGGAAACTGATAGTAATTCACATCTCTTAGAAGCAACAGCTCTTAGCAGCCACAACTAGAATCTGTATCTGAATTAAAGCCCATTCAGCTGTATTGCCTTTCCTGGGTGATAATATATTAATGATAGTTCATGTTTAATGAGCATTTACAACCTCATGATGTAGGTACCAGTGTTACCCCATTTTATAGACTAGGAAACTGGCCAGAGGAGTGAGTAACTTAAGCAGCTTTAGTGCTGTTAGAAATCCTGGCTGAAAAGGGATACAGGAGTACTGATGCATAGGGGCACTTGTACCCCAATGTTTATAGCAACACTCTCAACAATAGCTAAATTATGGAAAGAGCCTAAATGTCCATCAATTGACAAATGGATAAAGAAATTGTGGTTTATATACACAATGGAATACTACGTGGCAATGAGAAAGAATGAAATATGGCCTTTTGTAGCAACATGGATGGAACTGGAGAGTCTTATGCTAAGTGAAATAAGTCATACAGAGAAGGACAGATTCCATATGTTTTCACTCCTATGTGGATCCTGAGAAACTTAACAGAAGACCATGGGGGAGGGGAAGAAAAAAAATGGTTAGAGAGGGAGGGAGCCAAAACATAAGAGACTCCTAAAAACTGAGAACAAACTGAGGGTTGATGGGGGTGGGAGGGAGGGGAGGGTGGGTGATGGGTATTGAGGAGGGCACCTGTTGGGATGAGCACTGGGTGTTGTATGGAAACCAATTTGACAATAAATTTCATAAAAAAAAAATCCTGGCTGAAGCTGCCACTATGCTAGTCAAAGACAAGACTGGGAAGGGGAGAAGCATGAATGTGAGAATGATAGGCTAGAAAGCTCTGGCAAAGAAGTATCTTATGGTCTTAACATCTTCCTAAATAGTTTTGGTACTTCTGTCCCCCCTTGATGATAAATAACTGTAGGTATTGAGCAAGGAACTTTCTAGCTGAGTTCTACTTTTAGGGTACCTCCATCACCTCAGAAATTGGGTTGGGTAGCAACTTTCCCTCTTTAAAGGCCATGTTCCTAGTTTTTTGCACCTTTCTGTTTTTTCATCTATGTCTTCTTTCATGACTATTTATTGAGGATTGAAATCTACCACAATTAGCTGATATAAGTGTATAAACTAATTAATCTAGCCTAAGGAGATATGAGAATACTATTGGTTGGATTGTTTGAAATTTCTCTTTATGTAGGACCCAAAAGGTCAGATCTCGTCAATCACTTGTGGTTTAATCTATGACTTTTACTTTAGGCAGATTACAGATTCTCCAGGTTCATTGTCTCACATTCATTTTTTGTTTATTCACTCATTTGGCAAACATTTATAGAGTGCTATATGATATTGAACTATTATACTGAGTTTTGGAGATGTGAAAATAAATAACACATGGTCCTATCATGGAAGTTATGATTAGAGGAGAACGGGCATTATAATAAAATGTTAAAATTGCTAAGATAGAAATAAAGAGATTGTGGTCATACATGCAGGGATGGGAATTTGCTGAGTTACTCAGCAAAGGTTGTATAAACGGCACGAGTCAAGCAGCCTAGAGAGTGTGTTTTGTGTTACGGGCACATACCATTAGTGGTTTGTCAAAGCAGTTCAAGAGCGTCACGTCCAGCATTTTTTTTTAATGGAATAATGCATCTCTCACAGTTATTTATTAACAGTAAGTTATTTAGTAAAACTTTCTGGTTTTAGTTTTATATGTGTATCTATATTGGTCATAATGTAAAATAAATTTCTTACCGTCAAATGACAGGATAGTTTGGCTTAGCTTAAAAAACACTGGACACTTATTTTTCTAGTGTTTTTTTTTTTTTCTTGTGAGTTTTCTCTGAATCTCTTGCTTTGGTCACCTGGGTTTTTTTCCTTGCCTTTTTTTTTTTTTTTTACCTCTACTCTCCACAGATTTTTATTCCTTTGGTCCTTGGAAAACAAAGGTCCTTTTATTATAAGACTTGGGTTACAAACTCAGGGCCTATAGAGATTGGGTGGAGATTGGAGCCAAATGGGGAATGCATACCTCAAATAAAAGAGCATGCATTGTGTTAGTTACATTCTTTGAAGAAATAATGGTCTGGTGATCTTACAGTGTCTCTTGCAATATTGGAAATACACATTTTTAAGTGAGATCTCTAAATTTTAAAATATTGGTAGCTAATCCACAGTTTTGTTTTTAAAAAAATTTTTTTTTAATGTTTGTTTATTTTTGAGACAGAGCATGAACAGGGGAGGGGCAGAGAGAGAGGGAGACACAATCTGAAACAGGCTCCAGGCTCTGAGCTGTCAGCACAGAGCCCAACGTGGGGCTCGAACTCACAGACCGTGAGATCATGACCTGAACCGAAGTCGGATGCTTAACCGACCAAGCCACCCAGGTGCCCCTAATCCACAGTTTTAAACACTGTAAGCCAATCAAAACTATCTGCGAGCTGTATTTGGCCCAAGAGCCTCCAGTTTACCACCTCTTTAGGCCAGTCCCCACATTCTTTCCTAATTGGAACAGGTTGCCTCAACAACATCTATCCAGCCAAAATATTTTTTTCCTAAGTTTGAAAATAGTGGGGTGATGCTTTAGGTATGAGGACAAGTGAATATATTAACCTCACTCACTGCCCAAGTATAGAGTTGTTGGATATAATATACTGGTAGCTGACTTCCTGTGGAACTGTGAGATTCAAGAATAGAATCTTCTTATTTGCTGTGGTGTTACAGGGATTTCTTTATGCTTAGGGTAAGCATTGCCCTAAAATTCGGTAAAGCAAAAAATAAAAAAATAAAATCACTTTTTTTTTTTTTTTAAATTTTTTTTCAACGTTTTTATTTATTTTTTTTGGGACAGAGAGAGACAGAGCATGAACGGGGGAGGGGCAGAGAGAGAGGGAGACACAGAATCGGAAACAGGCTCCAGGCTCTGAGCCATCAGCCCAGAGCCTGACGCGGGGCTCGAACTCCCGGACCGCGAGATCGTGACCTGGCTGAAGTCGGACGCTTAACCGACTGCGCCACCCAGGCGCCCCATAAAATCACTTTTTAAGAGTTAAGTCAACTGCTATTCTTTACTAGTTACCTTGAGTAAGTTACTGATCCTCTCTGAGTGGGCCTCCGGTTTCTCATTGTTCTGATCCCTATTGCTTCATTAAGTTATTGTCAATAGAAGGTGCTCTGCAAATGTTATAGACATAGCTGTTTTCATCGTAATTTCTCAGACATTTCAATTTATTAAATAATGTTTATTAACTTTTATTTCAAAGATCTTTAGTTGAACAGTCTTCTGTGGGATCCATCATATCTGCTAACCTCTTGAAACAGATCAATACACAGAAAAGTACTAATACTAGAGATACAAATAAAGAAACAAAAGACCAGCTCATCATTGTGAGTAAATTTAAAAGCTCCTCCTGTATGTGGCTCTCATGTAGAACATGAAGGCAGACATGTTGTCTTAGCAGAGTTAACATGGTTTATAGACATTCTGAGTTGTGTATATGCCAGCTTTGTTGTAGTGGTAGCATTTAAACTAGTCAAGTAGATTTTCAAACTGATAGTGTTGGGCAATGTGTTATGAGATAGAATGGAAGTTAATAAGCCATGACAGTGAATATTCCTGACTTTTCTATATTTATGAATTTATCTGTGCTTTTCTGAACTTTTATTATGTACTGTATTTATTTTTTATCAACTTCTGGGGCAAAGAATTTTAATATTCCTAATCACTTAAGGAAAAACACTATATAATGAATATACAAGTCCTAGGATTTTTGCCCTGCCTCTTTGAAACAAGGCTTTTTCAGGTCTCTTCACTTAAGAGCTTAATAATTATGCTCTCTTGTTCATCTTAGCCATTATCTTTATGATTTGATTTGATTCCTTCTTAGAACTATGGGTCAAGCGAAAGAATCTTGATTTTTTTTTTTTATACCATCAAAGAGACCATTTCACTTCTTGCATCAGTTTATTGCATTTTTAGGTCTCTTCTCATTCCATTTTGTTTAGGAGGTGGAGGGAGGGGACGTAGTAACCAGACTTTCATTTAGTATTTCACTTGTGCCAGCATAAAAGAAAAATAGGGAGAAATTTGAATGAATGGCTACATGAACTAAATATAGAGCTATTTGTGATGTGTTTAGATGGACTTGTTCTTTTCCCAATTACAGGACGCAGGTCAGAAACATTTTGGAGCCACCATGTGTAAGTCCTGTGGCATGATCTACACCGCATCCAACCCTGAGGATGAAATGCAACATGTCCAGCATCACCACAGATTTCTGGAGGGGATCAAATATACAGTAAGTCAAAAACAGTCTTTCAATTTGTTCTAAAAGTAAAACTGCTTTAAAAGGTACATTTCTTTTGCTTAAATATTGGAAGATCTGTATCTTTAAATATCATCTACAGTTTTGTTGTCTTAATATTTGAGGCTGATGGTACTTAAAAGCTAACTTCAAAAAATTTTTCTTTTTTAACATTTATTTTTGAAAAACAGATAGCATGGGAGGGGCAGAGAGAGAGAGGGAGACACAGAATCGAATCAGACTCCAGGCTCTGAGCTGTCAGCACGGAGCCCAACATGGGGCTAGAACCCACGAACTGCGAGATCATGACCTGAGCCAAAGTTAGATGTTTAACTGACTGAGCCACCCAGGCGCCCCAAAAGCTAACTTTTAATAAAAGTGCCATCATGGGGGTGCCTGGGTGGCGCAGTCGGTTAAGCGTCCGACTTCAGCCAGGTCACGATCTCGCGGTCCGTGAGTTCGAGCCCCGCGTCGGGCTCTGGGCTGATGGCTCAGAGCCTGGAGCCTGTTTCCGATTCTGTGTCTCCCTCTCTCTCTGCCCCTCCCCCGTTCATGCTCTGTCTCTCTCTGTTCCAAAAATAAATAAAACGTAAAAAAAAAAAAAAAAAGATTTCTTTAAAAAAAAAAAAAAAAAAAAAAAAAAAAAAAAAAAAAAGTGCCATCAGACTTTCTATCCTGATATAAGTGTTGTTCTAGGTTGAGTGAACACCCTTCATCCTTAACTCTAGCCTTTTGAGCGGAGCTGCACAATTAGGATATAAAACTCAAAGACTTGAGGAGACCCTACTTCCCCATACCTCTTCACTTTAGTAGGAGTATTCTTTGTAGATAGGGTTAGAAAAACCGCTTTTCTGTGATTTCTCCAGGCTTTTTCTTTTCTGAAAGGAGAGGTTCCACCTTTTCATCAAGCACCTTTCTAGTATAATGCATCCTGTTGTCCTTTATGTTCTACCTGCTATTCAAATGCATTTCTTTTTTTTTCTATAATATTTTTAGTGTGGTTTATTAAACCTCTGCTTATCCTAGCCCTCTTCTACCTTCCCACTCCTAATAATTCATCATTTTTTCTCTATATTCTTATGAAGTCCTCTTAATTGACTTTCCATTATTTTATAGTAGATAATATAAATGTCTCCCAGCATGTAGGGTGTCAGTCAGTCTCTTGAGGACAGGTACTTTATTTCAGGCATCTTTTACTTCCCTTCCCACATTCCTTTAGTCAGATTTTGTCCTTTTTCGCATCATTCATTGTTCATCTTTTTGTCCTCTCTAGACCAAATTGTTTAATGGTTTTGTGTGTGTGTGTGTGTGTGTGTGTGTGTGTGTGTGTTTTCTCTCTCTTCAGATTAAACTGAGTTTTTTTTCTTTCGTCAGGGCTGGAAAAAAGAACGTATAGTAGCACAGTTTTGGGATGGGAAAATTTTGTTGGTCCTGCCACATGATCCGAGTTATGCTATCAGAAAGGTATGGAACATTAGTTTCTTAATCCTTGTTCTCCTACTCCCTCTCCTCTCACCAAGAATTCAACCCATGTTGAAGTGTAAAACCCCTTTGCTGATAGCTAATTCATTCTGGTGATTCTGGTTCTCATGCAGGTGTCTAATTCATAGTGGTTTATACAAAACTAAATTTAGAATTACAAGATGAAGTGACAGTCAAAGATTTAAGAGAACAGATAAGGCTCTATTGCTTATCTTTTACCTTCGTCTTCGCTTGTGAAAGATAAACTAAATTTTTCAGTATTGAGAAATTAATGACCCCAGAGTCTCTCTCTTATGTTGTTACTGCGTGTCTCATGGGCTGGATGTATTCAGTGCACATTGAATAAAGCTGAAACAAAATCTGTTTTGGCACTTCCCACCCCTTACTCCCCCTAGGCATCTGCATTTCTTTCTGCTGAAAGTGCTCTTTAAAATAGGATTTTCAAACTCTGTTTTCAAAGTGGCAGATACATTCATCAGTAGTAAAATAATTTTGGGGGTGTGCAAATTTAGGAAATAGAAGTAAAAGGTACACATTTTCTGTACATAAATGTATAGTTTCTGTTCTTTTTAAAACAAATTAATCTCTTTTGTTTTTTAACATCATTAGGTAGAAGATGTCCAGGAACTTGTTGATAACGAATTGGGCTTCCACCAAGTTGTTCCCAGATGTCCAAACAAAACCAAGACTCTTCTCTTCATATCTGATGAAAAGAGAGTAGTTGGGTGTTTAATTGCAGAGCCCATCAAACAGGTGTGGTATATGTCTTTTAAATTATTGGCATAATGTGTGAGCAAAATAAAGTAATTGGGTGAAGACTTCAATAAGCAGTTAAGAATGCTACCATTGATGGGGTGCCTGGGTGGCTCAGTTGGCTAAGTGTCCAACTCTTGGTTTTGGCTCGGGTCATGATCTCGTGGTTTGTGAGTTCAAGCCCTGCATCGGGCTCTGCGCTGACAGTGTGGAGCCTGCTTGGGATTCTGTCTCTCCTCTCTCTGCCCCACCCCTGCTCATTCCCTCCCTCCCTCCCTCTTTCTCTCTCTCTCTTTCTCTCTCTCTCTCTCTTAAATAAATAAACTTAAAAAATAATAATAATAAAAAAATGCTACCATTGATGACATTTTCCCCTGCTAAAGTATCCTGGACCATATAGATAATTGAAGTCATTTATTTCTATTATATTTGGTATTTTGCCATATATAAAAAGCAGGATTAGTAAGTCTGTCCTGTGTTCATGTAGTCATTTCCATACCTGGACTAGTGATTTTAAATAAGCAAATCTGTAGAGCCCAGATATTGAGGATGTGGCTTAGTGCAGGTTAATATATTTGGCAAAATAATTATTGTCCCTTAATTAGAATCTATTTTAGGTACTAGTGAGCAATGTTCTGGAAGAGGAGTTGGCAAACTTCAGCGCCTGGGCCATGTGTGGCCCACCACTTGTTTTATAAAGTTTCATTAGAACAGAGATATGCTTATTTATTTCCATATTATCTGGTTGTTTTTGTAACAGGTATAACAGATCACATGGCCCAGTGAACCTAAAATATTTATAACTTGGCCCTTTACAGAAAAAGGTTGCCAGCTTTTTTTCTAGAATAGAGAGAGTTTTTGCCTTCAAGGAGCTTATAGTATAATCTTTAGCTAAGGAGAATTATAGTTCAGAGGTGTTCTTTTTACCTGACTTTATAGGATCCCACACTTAGGTCTCCTTCCTTTTAAAAATATTTGATTTCTCAATACATCTGAAAATGATACTAGCATAAATTTTTTACCTTTGTGTAAGTGGTTCCCTTTCTCCCCTCATTTCTACTATCTTTATTACTCTTCCTTATTTTCTCTTTTTTCACCATATATACATATACATATACATACATATATACATACACACACATATATATATATATATATATATGTATACACACACACACACACACACACAATATAGTGTCCCTCGTGTGTTTATCAGAAGCTGGAGAGAAAAGCAGCTGGTTTGTATTAGTAGTCAATTTGGCCTTTTATTCTAAAGAAGTAGACTATTTATGTAGTGATAATAAGCAAATATAGCTAAATAACATATATTCTCTTCTACTTTTTCGTATTTCAAGAGCAATGTTTTCTTGATGGTAGTTAAAACTTAAGTACCCACCTATCAGAGCAGCTATATTAAAAAATAGTGACAAGGCACCTGGGTGGCTCAGTCGGTTGAGTGTCTGACTTTTGATTTTGGCTCTTGTCACAATCTCAGGGTTATGGGATGGAGCCCCATATTGGACTCCACACTGAGTGTGGAACCTGCTTAAGAGTCTCTCTCTTCCTCTCTGTCTCTCAAAAAAAGATAAAAAATAGTGACAATATCAAATGCTGGCAAGGCTGCAGGGAAAACTAGATCTTTTAGACATTGTTGGAGAGAACATAAAATGTTAGGACTACAAAATGTTTGACAGTTTCTTAAAAAACTAATCCTACATTTATATGACCCAGCAGTCCTACTTCTGGTTATTTATCCCAGAGAAATGAAAACCTACTCTACACAAAAGCCCATTCCTGAAAGTTTATAGCAGCTTTTTTGGTAGTGGTCAAAGCCTAGAAACAAAGAAACTGTTCTTCAGTAGGTGAATGATCACTCAAACTGGTACATCCATTCAATGGAATATTAGTCAGCAATAAAAAGGAACAAACTGTTGATATATGCAACAACTTGGACAGACGTCAAGGGCATTGTGCTAGTGAAAAAAGCCAATCTCCAAAGACCACATGATGTATGCTGTCATTTATATGACATCCTCAAAGTAACAGAATTATAGAGTGAGAGAATAGATTGAGGTTGCCAGGGCTTAGAGATGGTTGAGGGAAAAGGTGGACATTATTACACAGAGACAACAAGAGAAAGATCCTTGAGATGATCCAGTAGCTCTGTATGCTGGTTATGGATACAGATGTGATAAGTTGTTCCATGACATGGGAAGATATGCAAACATTATACCTATGTTAAACCCTTGGTTTTGGTATTGTACTGCACCTATAGAATATATAATCATTGGAGGAAGCCAGATGAAGGATACATGGATCCTCTGTACTATTTTAAAGATCCTTAAATACCACCCAGATTTCATAGTTAATATGCAAAAATCTTTAGTGTTATCATTTTTTTTAGGATATCATAAATAAATGCAGTTTAGACTGGAGAGAATGGGAGAAGTTTATGTGCTATATTAAAAGTAAGAGTCTGATTTTTATAATTTTTTAATCAATAGAAGGAAGTTCCATAATGGTATGTAATCCACTGGAATATGGGAATATCTCAACACCAGTATTTTTTTAAGCATTGTGTGACCATATTTATTTATTTTCAGAGAAAGAGAGAGAGAGGGAGCTTGCACACGGGGGAGAGGCAGAAAGAGGGGGAGAGAGTCCCAAGCAGGTTCTGCCCTGACAGCACAAAGCCCAATGCGGGGCTTGATCTCATGACCTGAGCCAAAATCAAGAGTTGGATGCTTAACCGACTGAGCCACCCAGGTGCCCCCATGCATTGTGGATAAGTGGATAAGAATCTAGGAAGTATCAGAATTTTAACATTTTTGGTGAAGGTAATAAGATTAATTTTAGATACTTAAGTCTTGTTTGAGGAATGTGAACTCAACTGTACTATTTTTTACAAAGAAATGTGAACTCAACTGTACTATTAGCTCTAGATGCGTCTGTATTATCATTGTAGGCCTTCCGTGTCCTGTCCGAACCAACGGGTCCAAGCTCTAAAGAATGTCATCGGGCTTGGCAATGTTCAGATGTACCAGAACCTGCAGTCTGTGGAATAAGTAGAATCTGGGTCTTCAGACTGAAACGAAGAAAGCGCATTGCAAGACGACTGGTGGATACTCTCAGGTAAGAAATAAAATAAAATAAAATGGATCTAGACCCAGATTGGCTTTCCCAGAACCTTTCCTGGTTTATGAGTCAAAGGGAACGATGTTATAAAGACACTTATGTTTAAATACTGCCAAAGTCAGGCTAAGGCCAGCAATGGCACTGGAAAACAAACAAACAAATACACTAGATGTACTCAGTTTAGGGCACAACATTCCAAATGTGAAACATTGTAGCCCAGTGCTTATTAAACCACCTGTGGTGAAAGACTAGTTTAATTGCACAGCAACACTTTAATAAAATGAAAATGAATTGCTAGAAAATGAAATAGGAAAACAAAATAAAAAAATGAGACATACAAGTCCCCATTTTTATTAGATTCAGCAGATGTGAAATTTAACATTGCAATAAATATAATTTATACAAACAAAATACAGGCTTAAAAAAACTACAGAAATTGTACATTCATTGTTCATTGACTACTGTGTGACTCGGTAATTGATGAAGACTTATAAATCTAACTAAATGTAAAAATGAGTTAGCCAGGCAACCCACAAAATGGGAGAAATTCATCTAATAAGAGTCCAGTATAACCAGTATATATAAAAGAACTCTTCCTATACAACAATAAAAAGACAAATGGCCCAATTAAAGATGGGCAAAGGATTCCAATACACAGTTCTTCTTTGAAATACATATGGCTGCCACCAAGGATTCGCAAACTAAAACCATGATGAGATACCACTTCATACTCACTAAACTGTTAGTGATATGACTTACTTGCTTGTTAACATACCTGATCTAGGTTGGATGGATGAGTTTCGTTTCACAACACTTACTCTCTCGACCTCTATACTTAAGAGAACAGGTTACAATCCAGGGACAATACTTTGAGGAGTGATCTAGCCTTGTGAGTCCTGTACGCTTTTTAGGAAAGAACACCCAAGACCGCTGTGGGATCCAGTGTTGGGCCATAATCCTAGTCACCTGCACATACCTTATAAAGGCGAGTAGTGAGAATTAGTGTCTATAATGATTTTATTTGATAGTTAATTATGAAAAATCTCTATTTTTTTTAATGTTTATTTTGAGAGAGAGAGAGAGAGCATGAGCAGGGGAGGGGCAAAGAGAGAGGGAGACACAGAATCGGAAGCAGGTTCCAGGCTCTGAATTGTCAGCACAGAGCCCGATGTGGGGGCTTAAACTTGTGAACTGCGAGATCTTGACCTGAGCCAAAGTCGGATGCTTAACCAACTGAGCCACGCAGGTGCCCCGAAGTGCCTCTATTTTTTATATTTTATGTTAAATATTTTATACTAAGAGATACAAATTTGGCATGGGAAATACCAGTATCTAACCTAGTTCCACCAGGCAGTAGTCCAATGCTTCTCAAACTTGAAAGTGCATATGAATCACCTGAGGATCTTGTTAAAATGCAGGTGTGATTGAGTAGGTTGGAGTGGGGCCTGAGATTCTGCATTCCTGATATGCTCTCAGGTAGTGATGAGTGTAGATCATACGCTGGGTACTAAGGCAGTAAGTAGGTTATCTATAAGCAGAAGTTTCCCTTAAAGGAAAAATAAAAACACATGCATCTGAGAACGAACACATCTCTTCTCACATCTGTGAGTTGAAATACAGGTAACATAAGTGGCAGCTATCCTGTAGAGGGGCCTTAGGCTTCATTCTCTCTGGTTTATACAGGCAACATATGTTTAAATCCTTACAAAGGTAGAATATCGCCCCTAGTTGTTTTACATAAGAAGCAACAGAGGCTCACCAGGGATTATTAGTACACGTTTACACAGGCTAGTAAAAGGACAGAGTTAGGACTCAAACCCACAGATCTCATGTTCTTTCTATAACTGATGTCACTTTATAAGTGAGACAGTAAGCTCTATTTAATCAAACCAGTATTTTGCTTTAGATTCTAGTAAATTCAGCCATAAACTTTGTGTGAAATTATATAGTATACCATATACTTAAATCTTAACTTCTAATTGAATCCAATCTTTAATTTTATATTTTTAAAATTTCAAACCTGTGGGGTACCTGGGTGGCTCAGTTGGTTAAGTGTCCAACTTTGGCTCAGGTCATGATCTCACAGTCGATGAGTTCAAAGCCTGTGTTGGGCTCAGTGCTGACTGCTTGGAGCCTGGAGCCTGCTTCGGATTCTGTGTCTCCCTCTCCCTCTGCCCCTCCCCGCTTGTGTTCTGCCTCTCTCTCTCTCTCTCTCTCTCTCTCTCAAAAATAAATAAAACCTATAAAAAAGTGCAAGAATAGAAAAAGAAGCCCTTATTTACCTTTGCCCAAATTCATCAAGTTTTAACATTTACTTTCTTCTTGAATTATTTAAAGGTAAGGTATGTATATTACGCCCCTTTAGTACTTCAGCGTGTATTTCTTAAGTCCAAAGATCCTTCCTCATGTAAGCATACTTGAGTTATCAAATACCGGGTATTTAGTGTTGATGTAATGCTTTCCTCTACTGTATGGTCCATATATCAGTTTTGTCGTGTGTCTCCGCGTCCATCATAGCATTTCTTTTTCCTGTCTAGATCACATTGCATGTAGTTGTCTTAACTCTTTTGTCTTCATCTCCTTTCTTTCTCTTTCTCTCTCCCTATCTCTGACCCTCTCGTATACTCTCTCTCTCAAAATAAATAAACCAAAAAAAAAGTGCTTAAAGAGATCAAAATTATATATTTGGACTGCTTTAAAATACGTATGCTAACGTTTAATCAGAATTTTAAATTAGTTCCATTGTTAAATTGTCTTTTCCTCTTTTTTAGGAATTGCTTCATGTTTGGCTGTTTTCTCAAGACTGATGAAATAGCATTTTCTGACCCAACACCAGATGGCAAGTTATTTGCAACCAAATACTGCAACACCCCTAATTTCCTTGTATATAATTTTAATAGTTAAAGCCAGTCTCTACTATAGAACAGTTACTGTGTGGACGATTTCAGACAGCCCCATATCCTATAATAGGAACTATTTAATAGATACCAAAATAAAAATACTAAGACACACATATATACACATAAACCTGTATTAGTTTTATTTCTTATGAATCAAAAAGTGAGGGATAAATTTGTTGAAAAGTATCTGGGGACTCAAAAAAAGGAAAAGTCTTTGGATAATATATACTGACTAGCATTGGAATCCTTAATTATGAAACTTGATAGCTCTAACTGGAAAATGACATGCCTCCTTCATCAAAACATTGACAAAGCAAGGTGGTTTCCACAGAAATGTGACCATTTCTCTCTTATGAAGCACACTTTTGCACAGGGATTACCTCATGCCCCATCAGAAGCAAATAAAATTTAAAGATAGGCAAATAAGTTCCATGCCCAATCTTTAATGGTAATTCCCAAATTCTGTACACAAAATTTTTAGTTTATAGGTATTGGCTGTAGCAACTGAGTTTCAAAATATTTAGAAAGTGTTTCGAATTTTTAATTTGTAATAGGGCTTTCCCATCTTTATGGTAAATAAAGAATGAGCAAAATTTCCATATCCTTTGATGTAGAACAGAATTCTGTAGCTTAATGTTTTAATCTTTTTGCAAATCATATCAATCAAGACATACTTGTCATCAGATCCAATTAAAATTAACCGTAGTAATTGCACTATTGTCATTTCATTCATTTCAGTGTGAAAATGCTAACTGTACTAATCTTTAGTACACTTGTTACTGGGGATTGATGTCATTAACACAATAGATGCCCATTTCGTTTAGATGATTCATATGGTTACATTTTTAATATTTTTGCATGTTTAAAATACATCTTGTTCTGAGACATCTGGCGAAGGTGGTGACAAAATGAATAGTAATATAACTATTACTATTTTATAGTAATATAACTGAGGTTAGTAAATGAATATATCTAGGCCGGAGAACTCGTGATAACATTATGTAAATACACCTCCATATGCACACATTTTTCTAGTATAATTCTTGGATACTTTCTTTGAAGAGCAAAGAATTACTCATATTGTTTTGATTCTAAAAATCACTTAACTGCTGTCTGGTGGTAAGATGCTAGGGAAGTAGTTTTCCAGGTTATAACTTGGTAGAATCTGTTCACGTGCATTCTTTTATTTGCCTGTAAGGTAACATGTTTCCAAAATTTAAAAGCCTGCATTCCAGAAAGAATATGGAAGTGTTAAGATGTAATTTTGCAAACATTTTAATGCTGTTTTCTGCACTGCTGTTTTTGTTTTAAATATTTTATTTAAAAATTTTTATTAACATTATTTTGCTTGCTCAGTGCTTTTGTGATGAATCAATTAAAATTCTTCTCAATATTCTCTGTCTATTTTTTTATACAACCAAATATATTGATTTTCTTTCTGTATTTTTGTGATTATAAAAACAGTACGTGCTCCTTGATTCCAAAAACCAATCACTGAAAATATAGCCAACACAAAAACCTGCACACTGGATGTTTATAGCAGCTTTACTCATAATTGCCAAAACTTGGAGGCAACCAAGGTGTCAGCCACAAAAAGGCACATAGGAAACTTAATATTACTGAGTGAAAGAAGCCAATGTGAAAAGGCTGCAGACTGTATGATTCCCACTGTATGATAATCTGGAAAAGACAAAACTGGAGACCGTGAGAAGCTCAGGAGTTCGAGGGGAGTGGAGGATAACTAGGTGGGGCACGGGACTTTGAGGGCAGGGAAAGTACTGTGCAGGATACTGTAACGGGTCCATCTCTAACGTTGTCCAAACCCATAGAACGGACAACACCAAGAGTAAAAAACTCGATTTGTCAACGTGGGTTCATCAGTTGCAACAAGTGTCCCTAGTGGTGGGATGTTGGTAGTTGGGGGCCATGCATGTGAGGGGCAAAGGGTTTGTGTGGTAAATCTCTGCTTCCTCTGATTTTGCTGTGAACTTAAAATTGCTCTAAAAAAAAATTGAAAGCTTCAAAAAACAAAAACAAAAAAAAAAACAAGGAAAGCCTGATAAATGATCATAGCCACAGAGACACGACAACTAAATGTAATGCAGTGTCCCGGCACAGAAGGGCAAAATAAATCTGAATCAAGTATACCTTCGTTAGTGTGTCAGTATTGGCTCATTGGTATGTTAATTGTGACAAGTATACTAATGTAAGACGTGGGTAATAGGGGAGGCTAGGTGTAGGGTATATGGGAATTCTCTTTGCGGTTTTCCTGTAAAGCTAAAATGGACATCTCCATTATCAATGCCTTCATAATTACTACCCAGGTCAAAAAAGTAAAACACTGCCAGCTGCCCAGAGTCCTCCTCACATTCTCTTTAATCATCATTTTCCCCAAATGTAACTACCCTTTGATGTCTAAAAGTTTCGTCTGGTTTTGAGCTTAATATAAATTGAATATGTTGTCAAGATGCATCCATGTTATTCTGTCTAGTTGACACCCATTTTCATGGTTGTATATTCCATTAAAAGAATATACCATAATTTATTGGGGTGGCTGAGTGGCTCAGTCGGTTGAGCGTCCGACTTCGGCTCAGGTCGTGATCTCGCGGTCCTTGAGTTCGAGCCCCACGTCAGGCTCTGTGCTGACAGCTCAGAGCCTGGAGCCTGCTTCAGGTTCTGTGTCTCTCTCTCCCTCTGCTCCTCCTCCACTCATGCTCTCTCTCAAAAATGAATAAATGTTAAAAAAAAATACCATAATTTATACTACTGTTGATAAGCATTGCTACCTTTGCCATTATACGCTACCTTTGTGATAAACTGCGTCCAACGTATGGGTCTCTTTCTGCCTGCTTATTCCCTCTAGCCTCGCTGGTCATCCTTACACCAGTACCACATTGTGTTATCAGATTCCTGAAGTTGGTATTGTAAATTCTTCCACCTTTTTTCTCTCCGGGAGTATTTTGTCTATTCTTGATCCTTTGCATTTGCATGTACAGTTTACAATCGGTTTAAGATCCTCAAAAAGCCATCACCAATTCAAAAAAAAAAAAATCTGTTGGGATTTTACTGGAATTGCATCACATCTACAGATCCGTTTGGGAGGATTGAATGCAAAAGATATATTTTTCTGGTGTATTCCCCATTTAGTTTCTCAGCAATTTGGGGTTTTCAGTGTAGTTATGTAATTTTTTAGGATTTACTCTTAAAGCATTTGATACTTTCTTTGAAACCACTGGAAATAAGATTGTTAAAGTTTCATTTGCTGATAAAACACAACAGACTTTTCCGTATTGATCTTCGGTTCAGCAGCCTTTCTAAATTTAATTCTAAAGATTCATTTGCAGATTATTTTTGGATTTTCAGGTTGTTGGGTTTTGTTTTTTTTTTTTAAGTTTATTTTGACAGCTTGCACGCATGTGCGAGCAAGGGGGTGGGGGTGGGGAGAATCCCAAGCAGGCACCACACCCAATGCAGAGCCAGACACAGGGCTTGATCCCAAGAACCGTGAGATCATGACCTGAGCTGAAACCAAGAGTCAGATGCTTAACTGATGTGAGCCAGGCAGGTGCCCCTGGGTTTTCAGTTTTGAAGTAATGTCTCATTTCATTTTTCATGAAAATACCATTTTCATGAAATACCATAGACTGGGTGGCTTAACAATTTAGCTCTCTGGTTGGTTCCCGAGTCCAGTTAAGTCCAATTTCAAGGCACTGGCAGATCCAGGACCTGGTGAGGGCCCGCTTCCTGCCTTGCTTGCGGTCTCCTTGCTGTATCCTCACATGGCAGCGCTCCTCTGTCAGGGATACTAATCCCTCTCCTGAGGGCTCCGCCTTCATAATCACCCCCCAAAGGCGCCCATCCCATTAGGGATTAGGCTTCAGCATGAATTTCAGAGGGACAAACTTTCTAATCCATAGCAACTATAAAATGTTTACCATAGCTTGTTAGATATACACTCTTATGTTAAGGAAGCTCCTCTATTCCTAGGTTTCTAAGAGGCATTTGTTTTTCTAAGAGGCTTTTAAACATTTAACTCTGGATTTTATCAAAATTTTTCTTCTTTGGAGGTAGCTGATTTTTCTTCATTGGATGAATATGGTGATTACATTGTTCTTAAGTCAACCTAGTCTTGCTGAAATAATCTCAACTTGGCCCTGAGGTTTTTATGTTACTGGCTTTGGTTTACTACTATTTTGTTTAGGATTTTCTTCATCTGTTCATGAGAGCGATTGGGTATCTATAGGAGATGCACTGATGTTTCCTTTTTTCATTTATGATGCTTTTTGTTTTTTTCTTTTACTCTCTAGATGACTCTTGCTAAGGCTTATTAGGCTTATAAATTTTATTCGTATTTTCAAAAACAACTTTTGGCATTGTTGATCCTATCCATTATAGATTTCTCCATTTTCTATGGTAGGTTTTGTCTTTAAATTTATACTTCTTTCTTTCTTTTGGGAGGGAGTTTTACTTTTTCTTATATTCTTAGCTCACCAATTTTTCAGGTTTCAATAGCATTTAAGACCATATATCTCGGGGCACCTGGGTGGCTCAGTCAGTTAAGCATCTCTTGATTTCGGCTCAGGTCATGATATGATCCATGCGATCGAGCTCCGCGTCAGGTTCCTTGCTGGCTGTGGAGCCTGCTTGGAATTCTCTCTCTGCCTCTCCCTGCTCATGCTGTCTCTCTCAATAAACTTTAAAAAAAAAGACCATAAATCTCTATAATCACAATTTCAGCTGTATCCCACAAGTTTATATATATGTATTTTTTATTTGCTTTTTTTGAGAGCACATGCACACAGGGCAGAGGGAAAGGGAGAGAGAGAATCCCAAGCAGGCTTCACACCCAGAGCGGATCCAAACTCGGGGCTCAATCTCACAACTGTGAGATCATAACCTGAGACAAAATCAAGAGTCAGACACTAAATGGACTGAGCCACATAGACACCCCTATATATAGTATTTTATTTATAAATCTCTAATTTCAATTAACAAATTGTCGATTAAAGTAGGAACCAGGAGGCAATAAATAATCCTCAACATTTCTTGAGCAGCTACTTATCCCCATTTTCTTTTTCAGAGAGAGAACGCAAGCACAAGCACAAGCAGGGGAGGAACAGACAGGGAGACACAGAATCCAAAGCAGGCTCCAGGCTTCAAGCTGGCAGTGCAGAACCCAACACAGGGCTTGAACCCATGAACTGTGAGATCATGACCCGAGCTGAAGTCGGACGCTTAACTGACTGAGCCACCCAGGCGCCCCTGTCTCCATTTTCTAGAGATGCAAATAGGCTCTTGGAGGCCTTACACTGATAGCAAAGGGAGATTTTCTGGGAAGTGAGAAAGCTACTTGGGAGGAGCCTATTTGCTAACTATAATTAATTACAATTAATACAGCAAAAAGATTAGTCCCACTGTATCCTCAAACCAGTCACATTACTTTTCTGCGAATGAGGCAAATGGCCAAAAGGAAGGCAACATCTGAAAGAACAAGTTCCAGAATAAGAATAAAAATTTTTCTTACAGTTCGTAGCAAATTTTCTGCAACTCCGTGTTGAGGACTTCAAGGCTGTATTCAGACACAAGATGGAAAGCATGCGGGATCATTTTGCAGTGCCTGCCATCGACAAGCCTGGTCATTGTGCGGTCCTTGGGCATTAGTTTGTTTCCATTTAATATTCCAACTGTAGGAAGTGGACACAAATTTCTCAGGGATAAAAAGTATTGGATTATGTGTTAAAAAGCTGTAATTCAGGAGAATGGACCAAGAGAGACACTGCCTTGTGAGATTAGCAGACCTATTAAGAATGAAATCACTCCCTCTCTCTCTGCCCCTCCCCCATTCATGCTCTGTCTCTCTCTGTCCCCCCCCAAAAAATAAATAAACGTTGAAAAAAAAACTTAAAAAAAAGAATGAAATCACATATAAGTCAAAGTGAGGGTAACTATCAGGGCACAAAACTGTTCAGATTTTTCTAGAAGTCAGCTTTCAGGTTTTTTTTTTTTTTTTTAAGTTTGTTTCTTTGAGAGAGCCGGTGTGAGGTGGGGAGGGTCAGAGAGATTGGGAGAGAGAATCCCAAACAGGCTCCATGCTGTCAGTGCAGAGCCTGACTTGGGACTCGAGCTCATGAACCGAGAGATCATGACTTGAGCCAAAACCAAGAGTTGGCTGCTTAACTGACTGAGCCACCCAGGCACTCTGACAGTAATTATTTTTTAAGTTTATTTATTTTGAGAAAGACAGAGACAGTACAAGTTGGGGAGGGGCAGAGAAAGGGAGAGAAAACCCCAAGCAGGCTCTGCACTGCCAGCACAGAGCCCGATACAGGGCTCAAACCCATGAAGCCATGAGATCATGACCTGAATTGAAACCAAGAGTTGAACGCTTAACCGACTGAGCCATCCAGGACCCCCCCCAAGGGGATTTTTTAAAAAAAAAATAAGATTTATTGCCAAATTGGCTAACATACAGTGTGTAAAGTGTGCTCTTGGTTTTTGGGGGTAGATTCCCGCGGTTCATCGCTTACATACAACACCCAGTGCTCATCCCAACAACTGCCCTCCTCAATGCCCATCACCCATTTCCCCCTCTCCCCCACCACCCTGTTTGTCCTCTGTATTTAAGAGTCTCTTACGGTTTGCCTCCCTCCCTGCCTGTAACTTTTTTTTTCTTCCCTTCCCTTCCCCCATGGTCTTCTGTTAAGTTCCTTAAGATCCACATGAGTGAAAACATGATCTTTCTCTGACTTATTTCACTTAGCATACCTTTCAGCTCCGTCCATGTTGTTGCAAATGGCAAGATTTCATTCTTTTTGATCACCAAGTAATATTCCATTGTATATATATGCCACATCTTCTTTATCCATTCATCAGTTGATGGACATTTAGGCTCTTTCCATAATTTGGCTATTGTTGAGAGTGCTGCTATAAACACTGGGGTACAAGTGCCCCTATGCATCAGCACTCCTGTATCTCTTGGGTAAATTCCTAGCTGTGCTATTGCTGGGTCATAGGGTAGATCTATTTGTAATTTTTTGAGGAACCTCCACACTGTTTTCCAGAGCGGCTGCACCAGTTTGCATTCCCACCAACAATGCAAGAGGGTTCCCGTTTCTCCACATCGCTTCCCACAGTCAAGTCTGGGTGTATCACCTGGAGTCACAGGGACAATTCATTAACTAAAAATTCCCAGGTGGCTTCTGTGGCACACAGATGGAAGATGCTGATCCAAATCATCACCTTCATTTCAGATTAACAAATGAGGCCACAAGAGAGAAACAAACCTACCACATTCACTCAACACACCTAATGACACTCAAATTAATGAAATCTAAAACAAGACACCTTCTGGTAACTACAGTCTCCTTTATTCTATATCATTCTATTAGAGTTTTATTATTTTTACACCAGAACTGTGATATGCTTAAGGTATAGATTATTAAACAAAAAATAAAAAAGGGATCTCAATACAGAAAATACATTTAATAAATAAAGCAAAAGCCAAAGATCGGGGGAGACCCAAGAGCACAAAACAAGCCTTAACCAAAAATGTCTGGAAATACCCAAGGAGCTAGTCTTTTGAGCCATTTCTCTTGGCTTCCAGTGACCATATTTAATAAGGAGCACATCTGCCCAAAAAGGCCAGCAAAAAGGTTAATGGTTTAAAAGATAAGCAAAAGTAGACTTAAGTTGTACTGCGCAAAGTGCTTTCAACAGATCCATTAAAAATAAAGAATATGTGAGAAACATTAATAAAAGTGATGGTCACTCCAAATCAATGTTAGACATACAGTTTACAGCATTTTATTACTGCTAGGGTTTTAAATCTGTATGTATGTACAAATCCAAATATTTGAGTAGCTAGTTTCTTAAACTTTCTAGAAAACCTACTACAATCTCAAATGCTTATCATCATAAGCATGTTAAGAAATATTGTAACTGTTCAAGTGTTAACTAGGTGCTACGGTCCTAAGACAGGCCACTTCCAAAAAGTCTAATAACTATGGATTATCACAGTAACTATATAATGTATTACAGTAAACAGAACAGTTATACACATGAGCCATCTGGAAAGCTCAGCAGTCATGAATATGAGGTGATCACTGGACATCCATTTCCAAAGCTTCCACGATGTGTGCGGCAGAAGGGCGATCCTTAGGGTCTTCATTAGTGCAAACAGAGAAGAGTTCAATTACTTTCTGGTACGTTTCATCCAGCTCTTCCATATTAACGGGTGGCCTCGTCCCCAAAGCTGCATAGTAGGCTTCATCATCAAAGTCACTTTCATCAAAAGTTTTATCTGCTCGTGAAGGCATTGGAGATTGAAACAAACAAAATAACTTTTAAGTCAGGAAAAGCTTAGCAACTGCTCAAACTCACCCTCCCGAAACAAGAACTCCTCGTCCACTATGTTTTCGGTATGCACAGGCCATCTCTTCAATTATCCTGCCGTGGTGAAGATTAGATACTGTCACGGTTTATAGGTTACAACCCCCCACCCTCTTACTGTGATAGCTTTCCAATCTTTTCCTTAGACTTTAGTGGCAGGATTCTCACACAGAGTCGTGACACAGAGGCTTTTCTTTCCAGGAATCAACTTTATTCGTGCTGGCACGGCTCAGTGGCGCTCGTACCCGAACACACAAACATGCAGTCTGATTAAGTGGTCTCATGTTACAAGGTCATGAGGGATGTTATCACATATGCATGCAGCCAGGTTGCCTTGAGGTTTTTTGGTTTTGTTTTGTTTTTTATTTCCTTAGGGAGGGGACCCTACCACAAGACAAGAGGAACTTTTAAGGAAACGTTTTGCTCTGTAGGATTTTCTCAATTTATCTCCCTATTATCAATTAACCTACAACTCATTTATATGAGAGTAAACTGAGATAGCACCAAGTTAGTCAGTAGTAATATAATCCACATCTCATGCCACTACCACTAAATCAAACATCTGTTTTAAATTTCAATGTTAATAGATAAAATATAATTTTATAAGCTAATCTTTAGTTCAAACTGAAGAGACTAGGATTTATGTTAAAAAAATATGTGGTTATACCTTCATCATCACCATCATCATCTGGAAGATTAATGTGTGGAATAGATAAAGTCATCATTTCCCACAGAGTCAGGCCAAAGGCAAATATGTCTGCCTTGTCAGTAATAATACCATTCTCTTCCAAAGCTTCCTTGGGTTTCCAAGGCTCGGTGCCAATGTAACAGGCCTCGGGGTCAGTCACTGAAATGAGTACAAGTAAGTCGGTCATAAGGGCAAGCACTAGAAATCACTAAGAAAAGCAAGCAACCCAAAGAAAAATGGGCAAATGATTTAGCAGGTAGTTTTAAAGGTTAAGAAATGCAGACAGTAAACATGAAAATACACTCAATCTCATTAGTAAGAATTACTTTTTCCTTATCAGATTGTTAAATATTAAAAAGCTAGTCAGTTGGCAAGGGTGTAGAGAAATAGCAATTCTCTTAGGAGGGGGCAGGAATACAGAGAGACTGTGGATGTCAAGAGCACAGACTCCGGAGCCAGACTGCCTTGCCTGGGTTTAAGGACATTTGCGAGTTGTGTGACTGTGAACAGATCAATGCATCTCTGTGCTCCAGCTTCTCCATTTTCAAACCATACTGTCATCAGGCAGAGAGAAGTACCATTTCTCTGCTTCTGTAATTGCTATGTCAGGGGAAAGGATAAGGGTCAAATCACATATTGGCTCTGAAAGCTTCTGCCCAGGAATGACATAGGCCTACTCATATTTCCATTTCCTTCTTCCTTCCCTCCCTTCTTTCCTTTCTCCCTCTCACATTAATAAAGAGAGAACAAATGGGAGGAGGGAGAGAGAAAAATGAGAATCTCGCACTCAGGAAACCAAAGAGCCAGTAGACAAGCACTCATTAATTCATTCATTCAACATTCTCGTGGGGAGGGGTACATCTAATAAGTACACTCTGAAGACAGAGTGAGAACGAAGAAGCCAGACTGGGGCAGCACCCAGCATCGGGTGGCAAGGACGAAAGATGTCTCTATGAGAGCCTTTTCACTTACACCAGCTTTCGGACAGTACACATTGGAAGGCAGTCATGTCCAGTATAAGCTCCCTGAAGGTTTTCCCCCATCCCACCTTGTACCTAAGAGGCACCTAATAGAATGCCCGACTAGGTAAGAGTCTAGACATGGTCGACAAGGGCAGTGGGTCTGGTGGTAAGGTTAAGGAGTCAGTCATACCTCATTCTATGTTGGTCAAATTCCTACAGGGATGGACCACACCAAATAGCTTTCTAGAGCTCAGGATCTAACACATCAGCTCCAATTGGAGATGCCAGCCAAGTGCATTTCCTATATATCCGCGGATATTTGCCCAAGCGTGAGATTAGAATTTAAACATAATGGAAGTGGTTCCCCCACATATGTTACTGATCAAGACTGCTTCTCTGTGAAGATGGATTGTTCTGACAAAAGTCTGGTGTGATAATCAACTGACGGTTGACTCATTCCTTTTTGTCAATACAGAAACAATGGTATTTTATTGCCCTTTGCTACATTCAAAAAGGATAAGCAGACATTACCTGATTTAGTTCTCATGGTCATTATGCCAAACTGAAAAATAATTAAACTGGAGCTTCTCCTCATTCTTCAATTCTTAGCTGAAACATTATTTATTTAGGAAGGCCTTTCTCAACATCTAGGCTGTGTTAAGTGGCACTGTTGTGTTTATATAATCCCTTCTATCATAATAGTCATTACGCTGTACATTATTCAAGAGCAGCTTGCTGTCCTAGATTATGAACAGTAAAAGGGTTAAGAACTGAAAAAAACAGAAGAGGAAGGAGAACGTCCAAGTATATTCTACAGGGTGCCTGGGTCGCTCAGTCAGTTGAGCGTCCAACTTTGGCTCAAGTCATGATCTCGCAGTTCGTGAGTTCAAGCCCCATGTCGGGCTCTGTGCTAACAGCTTAGAGCCTGAAGTCTGCTTCAAGTTCTGTTTCTTCCTCTCTCTGCCCCTCCCTCGCTCATGTTCTGTCTGTCTCTCTCTCTCTCAAAAATAAACATTAAAAAAAAAAATTCAAATGTATTCTACAAGGTCAGCATTGCACTGATACCAAAACTAGATAAAGACACTACAAAAACAAAAAACAAAAACAAAAAAACCCAATAAAACTACCAGCCAATATCCCTGATGAACATATGTGTAAAAATCCTCAATAAAATATTGGCAAACTGCATACAATGGTATAATTAAAGGATCCTTCACCATAATCAATGGATTTTATTCCAGGGATGCAAAGATGGTTTAAGATTGATAAATCAATCAACGTGATTAACCATACCAACAAAACAAAGGATAAAAATCATATGATCATCTTGAGGCACCTGGGTTGCTCAGTCGGTTAAAAGTGTCTGACTCTCCATTTTGGCTCAGGTCGTGATCTCACAGTCCCTGAGATCAGATCAAGCCTTGTGTTGGGTTCTGAGCTGACAGCACAAAGCCTGTTTGGGATTCTTTCTCTCCTTTTTTCTCTGCCCCTCCCCTATTTGCATATGTGTACTCTCTCTCTCTCAAAATAAACTTAAAAAAAAATCATATGATCATCTCAAAAGACGCAGAAAAGGCTTTTGACAAAATTTGACATCTGTTCATGATAAAAATTCATAAAACAAAGTGGGTTTAGAGGAAATATACCTCAACATAATAAAGGCCATAAATGGAAAACCACAGCTAACATCAGTCTCAATGATGAAAAACTGAGAACTTTTCCTCTAAGATCAGGAACAATGTAAGGATGTCCACTTGTGCCACTTTTATTCAACTTAGTACTAGAAGTCCAAGCCATTGTAATCAGACAAGAAAAAAAAAAGACATCCAACTTAGTAAGGAAGAAGTAAGCTGCAGATGAGAAGATGCTTTGCACAGAAAACCCTAAAGACTCCACCAAAAACCTATTAGAAGTAATAAATGAATACAGTAAAGTTTCAGGATATAAAATTAATATACAGAAATCTGTTGCTCTCTATATACTAATAACAAAGTAGAAAAAGAAATTAAGAAAACAATTCCAGGGGCGCCTGGGTGGTTCAGTCAGTTAAGTGTCCAACTTCAGTTCAGGTCATGATCTCACAGTTTCTAAGTTTGAGCCCTGCATTGGGTTCTCTGCTGTCAGCGCAGAGCCTGCTTTGGATCCTCTGTTTGCCTATCTCCCTGCCCCTCCCCAGCTCACTCTCTCTCTCAAAAATAAACATTAAAAATTTTTTTTTAAAAGAAAATCATTTTAAATCATTTAAAATTTTTTTTTTCAACGTTTATTTATTTTTGGGACAGAGAGAGACAGAGCATGAACGGGGGAGGGGCAGAGAGAGAGGGAGACACAGAATCGGAAACAGGCTCCAGGCTCCGAGCCATCAGCCCAGAGCCTGACGCGGGGCTCGAACTCCAGACCGCGAGATCGTGACCTGGCTGAAGTCGGACGCTCAACTGACTGCGCCACCCAGGCGCCCCTAAATCATTGTAAAAATCATCATTAAAGACAAACAAAAAGCAGAAACCAGACCTACAAATTCAGAGAACTGATGGTTGCCAGAGGGGAGAGGGATGCGGGGCATGGGCAAAATGAGTGAAAGGGAGATACAGTTTCCAGTTATGGGAAGAATAAGTCATAGGGATGAAAGTTACAGCATAGCATTGTATGGTCACAGATGGTAGCTACACTTGGGAAAGCATAGCGTAATGTATAGGTTTATCATACACCTGAAACTAACATAATATTGTGTGCTAACTATAATTAAGTCAAACTATAATCAATTAATTAAAATCAATAAAAAATACATACAAAAATTCTTAAGAAAGGGTAAGGACTGTGTCTATTCTATTTTCCTCTATATTCATAATACCTGGCACAGTGCTTGGCCATACTAAGTATTAACAATATTTGTTAAATAAATAATCTAGAGATAACCACTGTTAAAACTGGGCTTGTCACAGCAACCTTATATTATAGTTGTGAAACATGGGAATATACCACCTATTGAAACACAAAACTTAAAAATAACTTGTAAAGAGGCACCGTGGTGGCTCAGTTGGTTAAGCATCCAACTTCAGCTCAGGTCATGATCTCGCAGTCTGTGAGATCAAACCCTGCGTTGGGCTCTGTGCTGACAGCTCAGAGCCTGGAGCCTGCCTCATATCCTGTGTCTCCCTCTCTGCCTCTCCTCCACTCACAATCTGTCTCTCAAAAATGAGTAAATGTTAAAAAGAAAAAAAAAGAAAAGAAAAAGAAAACTTTTAAAGATTTAGGTGTATTTTTTTCCAAACTTTTCTTAATGTGTACATATTTAAGTGCTATTTTACGATCTGTTCATCTCACTCAATATATCTGGATATACCATTCCTACAAATATAAACCTGTATCATTTTAATAACATTCTATTGTGTGGTGGTACAATAAATTAAACCACTCCTTACTGGTGGACATTCGCCTAAAGTTTTGCATAGTCTATTCTGCTACAATGTATATTTTTATAAGTTAGTACATACACAATTCAGTAAAAAGATTAATTTCTCTCCCAGCACCTGTTATTTTTCAAGTGCTTAGGAGTAAACTTCCTCATAAAGAGAAAGCCTTAGCCCAAGAGAAAAAAGAAGAGAATTGCCTTCTCTTAATGCATGGCTGGTTTAGTAGCTTTAAGAACTGCTATGCTGACTATAAGCATAAATTGATGAAGCGGAGAGTGCCGGTAAAGGAGCTGCGGAGACATTTCCCCCAGGCTTACAAATGTTTTTTTGAGAACGCCAGATCAAGTTTTTAATTAAAAGTATGTATTGAAAATAAATGCCCTCAAATATACACCTTCAAGGAAGCACAAACCCAGGGTTTATGGCTTCACAGGATGGGCTGATGCTGGGCACCAGTGAAGATTTCACGTGTTAGTATTTTTATCAGGATTGTTATCGTTTTCGTTACTGCTGTGTTTTCAACACTGCATGAGTTTTGATTCTTCTGTCTTAACTCTATTTCTTCTACAAGCCTAAGTCTCTTGGTTTTGCAGAAATTAATATATCAGATTACTATAAAAAATGTCTGCAGTGCCCAATTATTTTTTGGAATATGTTCTTGGGAATGAATTACAGGATCAAAGGGCATTTTGAAAGGGGTTTTTTTGTTTTGTTTTGTTTTTGTTTTTTAAATATAGATTTCCAAATTGCCCTCTGAAAAGACTGTACCATTGTAGCAGTTACCAGTGCTGTTCATCAAGTAGGTCATACTCTCCCCCATCTGGACACAAAGATGGATGCACTTTTTGGCCTGTCAAGGTTGGATGGAGCCATCTGACTTGTTCTGGTCAGTGAGTTGTGAAAGAAGTGGCTTCTGTCATTTCTAATCTGGGGCATTTAATTGTTAGCGCAAGACTTGTGGAGCAGCACTTTCCAACAGAACTTTCTGTGGTAATAAAAATGTTCCATATCTGCATTGTCCCAATATGGTAGGCACTAACCATAGGCAGCTACTGAACACTTGAAAAGTGGCTAGGGTGGCTGAGGAAATCAATTTTTAAACTTTTCAAATATTTATTAATTTCAATAACTGTATGTAGCTAGTGGCTACTGTACTACACAGCTCTGGAGCCTTTTTACCCTCCATATGTACAGTGACGGCAGTGTTCCGTATAGCGGATGTTCTAGCCGCTTGGGTCCTAAAAATGAGAATGAAACATAGCCATAATGGATCTGTAGCTTGAATAAGCTGTGGTTGCTTTAAGCCACTGAAGTTTTTGAGGGTGTATGCTACCACAGCAAAACTTATCCTAACGTGAATGATACCTGATATGATACTGAATGATAACCTGAATTGCAACTTATACTTAGTGTATGAGAGTACATGTTAAGCTAATTTGGGAGTAAGTCAGCCAAAGACAAATACATGATTTCACTCATGTGTGGAAGTTGAGAAACAAAACAGATGAACATGGGGGAAGGGAAGGAAAAATAAGATAAAGACAGAGAGGAGACAAACCATTAGAGACTCTTAAATACAGAGAACAAACTGAGGGTTGCTGGTGGGGTGTTGGGCGGGGATGGGCTAGATGGGTGATAGGCATTAAGGAGGGCACTTGTTAGGAAGAGTGCTGGGTGTTAGATGTAATAATGAATCACTAAATCCTACTCCTGAAAAAAATAACATAACATAACATAACATAACATAACATAACATAACATAACATAACATAACATGGTTTCTAGTTTTAGTGTCCTTCTTAAGCCCAATTTTAATGAATTATTTACCTGTAATTTTTTTCACTACTCTTTTTTAACATCTTAAAATCCTAATCCTCACATCTTAATCCTACAAGGATTAGACTGAGAATGGAAAACAGCTTTATTTTTTCTAAAATGTCCACACATCATCATTTACTGACTCAACTACTTCTTTCTCAATACTACTAAACGTCAGTGTTATATAATAAATTTGATATATTTGGGACTACTGGACTCCTTACGTTTTTCTGCCTACTTTTTGGCAGGAATATCACTGCTTTCACTACTGTGGCTTTATAATACTTAACATCACCTCAGGAAAATTCCTATTCATCATTCTTTCACAAAATTTTCCCGGCTATGTTTGAACATGTATCAAGGTTGAACTTCACATGTTTACAAACCATGAACTTTGACATGTTCTAAAATAAAACAGATCATGTTGGGATAATGCAGAATTTATGGATTTATTCATTCACTTCTGCTTTCTGTCTCTAAGGCTTCATTTATGTTTTTACCTGATGTGAATTCAAAACTCAAACTTAGTTTCATAAAGGTTAAATAATGAAAATGTTTTGCTTTTAGTATTGACCATATCGAATAGGTTTTGATTTGATTTTCTAAATACAGTATAGCTGGAATTTGATTTCAGCTAAGAATTATTTACAAATATTTTAAATTCTTGAAAAATGTGGGTGTTTTGTTTCCAATTGTGTCACTAATTTCTAGATTTGCAGCACTGAGGACAATGTAATCTCAGGTTCTCTCTTGTAACTTTATGTGCATTCAGTTTTAATAAATACTTGGATGTATAGAGATTCACCTTATTATCTACTCAGATATTCTACATCTTAGTTTTGTCTATTTGACCTACTAAGGATTGAGAAAATTATGCCAAAAATATCTTACTTGCATCCTGTTTCATAATTTCTCCTTCATTTTCGAAAGTTTCAACTTGGTAGCAGTTATATAGCCTAAAGGCTCATAACAGTCCTATCTTTATGAATGAATACAGACATCTTTATAAAGTCACTCTATTCATCTTGGCTTTTTTCTTCACTTAACTCGCTGATTTTTACTAGAAATTAAAGTGTACAAAAGTTCTGGGGCACCTGGGTGGCTCAGTTGGTTGAGCGTCTGACTTCAGCTCAGGTCATATCTCACGGTTTTTGAGTTCGAGCCCGCATCGGGCTCTGTGCTGATGGCTCGGAATCTGGAGCCTGCTTCAGATTCCTTGTCTCCCTCTTTCTCTGCCTCTACCCTGCTCGTGCTCTCTCGAAAATAAATAAACATTAAAAAAAAAAAAAAAAAAAAAAAAAAGCGTACAAAAGTTCTAAACAGCATTCATTAACCTTCATTTTACCACATATTCATATGAAGAAGCACATTTAAATGTTATTTATTAAATAACATGTTTAAAGCAGGGACCTTCTTTATGATGCTGGCTCTTGGTTCTTACCAAGATCTTAAATTCACTGAGAATGGTCAGTATTTATATCAGAGAAGAAGGAGTCGAGAATGGTCAGTATTTACATCAGAGAAGGAGTCGGGGCAGGCCAAAGGGCAAGCAGCAGAAGATCTAGCTTTATTAGCACCCCTCTCTCCTACTTCCACCCATTTCTTCTTCTGACAGTTTCCCCAATCTTATCATTATGCGAAACTAAATGAGTTCCTTTATAAAACCTTATTAAAACTGTTTTCTACTCCCAGATATTTTACCACATAAAAATCCCAAGCCAGGTTAGAAATAGTTCCTAAAGTTATCTTCAGTTAAAGTATATTAATAAAAATGCAATAATTTATATTGGTGTGACAAAGCCGGGGGCTGGAGGCTGGGTGGAAGAGAGACAGGAAAGGAGTGGTACTATTTATTGTATACTTTTTATACATAGTTTTTAATTTTAAGTATATAAACTTATTACCTATTTAAATATGTAAAAATTAGAGCCTGCCAGGGAACTTGCTCGCTCCGCGCAAACACCCAACTCTCC